CATGTCCAGATCCTTTTCTTCATTTGTCTTTTGTATTCCAATTTTCGTAATCTCAATCTTGTTGTGTTCCATGCCTTCAAATCTATAATACCTATGGAAGGTAAACTTTTTTTAAAAAAAGTTTTTCTCATCATTGTTTAAGTTTATTCATTGAAATCAGTATCCTTTCTGAGATACTACTTACTAATATTACAGTTCATGTTTCAAAAATGCCCCTTAAGAAAAACCAGAGACTAGAAAGATTTGAAATCTTGATTAATTTTGTGGTAGAGTTTGAAAAACAAGTATATAATCAAATAATATACTTGTGGAAAATGACTGAAACGGAATTAAACCAGTGCTAGGAATTGAGGCTTGATGAAGATTGTAAATGAACACTAGAGGGAACTAAAGGACTAGGCAGAAAAGAGTTAAAATGATTAAATAACTTTTTATTATCATAAAGAATTTTTAAAAATTTTATTAAATTACTATGCTAAAAGCAGTAAAACTACTACTTCTTATACAATAAAAATATAACTAATTGATTCTTACATCTTCTTTGTAACTCAAATCATAAGAATATTTACTTGGAAGTAAACTCTGAATTCAAATGAATTCCTTTCTGTGAACTTTCCCCTATGAATACTGTATGTCTGTTTCTTGAATCATATTATGCTTTGTTTAGATAAGTCAACCACACAAATGAGCTTTAGCAAGGCATTTTCCCTTGCCACATGTTAATACTTATGTTAACACTCAATAAAAATCTTATTTAAAGCAAAGATCTTAAAAACAATATTTTATTTTCTGAAATACTTTAGGGGTACAATAGGTTGGGAGACACTCAATACATACATTAGTTTGCCTATCATCGTACAACAGTGAAATTTATATGACAATCCAGTGCCTTGCCTTTTGTTATGCCCTTTTCTTAAATTATGCTTACTTTAACACATACCTATCCACATTTAGAATATGAAAAAAAATGGATAGCAACCATACTTAATAGTTTTGAAACAGCTAGCAAAATCAGCAGATAGGTGATAGAATGAATTGGTGGGGACACATCATGCAGATGAATAGGGCACAGATTTCCAGTTTTCCCATTTGCATGGGACATTCTTTGTTTTTAAAACAAATGCTAAGTTCAATGAATCTGATTCAGAAATTCATTATGAAGGCAATTTGAGTCAACTCCCCTTTTCAAACCAAAACTTTTAACTCCCATGTTAAATTGTTTGCCTCTGAACATATCTGTTTCTTTGTGCATACATAAATGTACTTTTTACAAACTGAATCAACAATTCAAAGTTAAAATCGGGAAGGCATATCCTTGAGAACCATTATTTTAAATTTTGACTGTGCCTTACTGGAACTGAGCAGCAGCAGTAATTTTATAAATGCAGTTCCTGCAATTCTAAATTACAGAATTTGGCAAACTCTGAATCTGGTGCAACGAATGAGACGGCCACTTGGGTTATCAGATTTTAACTTCTGCCTAAGGAAATACCCTAGTAGTTTGTTCACTTGGTAAAAGATTTTAACTTTCTTCTTCATTTCTAAATTATTCTGTGATGACAAAGAAAGTTTGACACAACTGGATTTGGAGATACTGTACTACTGCAGTTGTGTTGGGAGCACCAAAGTGCTTCTGGGTTGAAATGATTGACCAGTGGCATCACCATTGCATGGGGGATGCCCAGTTGGGGGCTCCTTTTACGTCCTGTTAAGTTGCTCACCAAAGTGGTATCCATTTATTTACTTGCACTTGCCTGCTTTCAAACTGTTGGGTGGGCAGGAGCTCACCCATCTTGTGGTAGCAACCAGGTCTTGAATGCGATCCTACCGATCATCAGCCCAGTGTCCTAACTTCGTAAGCTACCGCACTCCCTGGTTTGAGATATGGTGGTTTTTAGGTGCTGTGCTATCAGGGTAAAGATGTAAAACTTACGCATCCATCATTCTTCAAAGGCTTGAGTCTATTTCCACAGAGCTCATTCAAAAATTGCTGCTGAAAAGTGATGTTAATATTACAGAAATGGAACATTATTATATACTTAATCATATTAATAGAAGCATAGTTAAGCTGGACTTGTCTCAACAAAGGCATATACTAGAGCAGTGATGGCAAACCTTTTAGAGACCAAGTGCCCAAACTGCAACCCCAAACCCACTTATGCATCATCGGGTGCCGGGTGGGTGTGGCCCATTGGGTCGGTGTGGCCCATTGGATGGGCGTGGCTGCAGTGGTAACAGCAGACTCGGTGGGACTAAAAAGTTCAATCAATCAATTCCAACTTTGCAAGATCTTTTTTTTTCCCGCGAGAAGTTGAAATTGACTGATTGATTGAGCCTTTTTTTTTGTACACAGCGGCGGAGGCCTAAAGCGAAAAGGTTTTATAAAACTCAGCTGAAGGCCTAGGACTGGGGCAACGGCACACATGCTCACAGAGAGGGCTCTGAGTGCCACCTCTGGCACCCGTGCCATAGGTTTGCCACCACTGTACTAGAGGAAATCGCTTTAGGACCTACAAAAGACTATTTTCAGGTAGACTTCTATTTTCCAATTCAAAGCTTATACTCCAGATTAAACAACTATTGTGTAAAATAATATCTCTGAATAAAGTGTACATAATATGAATAAACCATATACCCATTTTGCAAGGATATGAGACATGATTAATGAATTTCTTGTTTCTGTCCTTTAGATCAGCAGTCCCCAACCTTTGCAGCTTGGCGATCCGGTGGGGGGGAGAGGGGAAACGGGCCACACAAGTGGTGGGCCGGCATGCATGCATGCTGCTCAACTTACAAGAGCAGCAGGCCGGTGCGCAGGCACATGTGCACGCAGCATGATTTGCACAAGTTGAGCTGCCACTGCTCACACAAGTTAAGCTGTGCATACGCACGTGCTCACATGGCCCGGTTGCAGATAGGCCATGGTTGAATAGTGGGCCGTGCCTGGGAATTGGGGACCCTTGCTTTAGATACAGCCAGATTGCTTCCCAAAAGTATTATATTAGAAATATCATACAGGAAATGTCTTAAAAGGCTTCATTCTCTAAAGTTCTTTTCTGAAATTCTTACTTAGGAATCTGACTAAGAACGTATATATTTTGCTGCTTATTAAGACAAATGGTATAAAGTTTTAGCTAGTCAGCAGAACAAGATCCAGTGTTTCATTCAAGCAAACATTTTGCTCTCTTCTGAAATTCAGTGCTGTCTACAAATACAATTTGTTTTTTCATGAAGATAAAAATTATTTTCAGATCTTCCCATAACAGGCACAGTACTAATTGTTACTCTATGGACTACATTAAACAATCACATCTTAAGTTAATAAACAAAAATACAAGTGTCAATTAAATCCTGAAGTCTCTAATTAACTTTATGTTCATTTTGTCCAAATTGGAAAACTATTGTGAAAAATATTGAAAACTTTAAAAACATGAAAATCAGTTTAGGATTCAGAAGAAACTAATAAGCATAAATCTCTTATTATATTAGCCACCACCAGTGACATGACACAGGCCGATATTGTTTAGGAAACTATAAAAAACATTAACCATCTTGTGAGATGAGAAAACTGAAATACCATTAGATTCATTCAAGCATGAAAAGGTAAGGTATAAACTTCTGAATCTTTTATTATACTATACTTGGATAGTTTAGGAAATAGATTGAAAAAGAGAGATGTCTTCAAATCTGAATCCATATCACCACCTTCTTTTGAGGCAGAGATAGAAAATGTTAAAATGGAGTATGGGGGGGAAATAACAGGAATCTTGCTGGAAATGAGTGGGATCACAAGTCAGATTAGGCCATGACTGGTCTAAAGTATGGCTGTCTAAGTCATAATGGTTGACCTTATTCAGTATGAAAATCCATGATTCCTCCTGAAGTACAGTACAGGTAGTCCTTGAAATAGCAATAGCACTTAGAATTATATACTGCTTCACAGTGCTTTACAGCTCTCTCTAAGCGGTTTACAGAGTCAGCATATTGCCCCCAACCATCTGGGTCCTCGTTCTACCGACCTGGGAAGAATGGAAGGCTGAGTCAACCTTAAGCCAGTGAGATTTTAACTGCTGAACTGCTTGCAGTCAGCAGAATTAGCCTGCAATATTGCATTGTAACCATTATGCCACCAGGGCTCATATCTTACGATATGACTGCAATAAACTATATAACTGTAATAGAGCCTGCCCATTACATTTACATGTTGCAACAGTCATTAAATGAAGAATTCAACTAATGACTCTCCCTTCCCAGCTTTCCCAATAAATCATTAAATGAATGTACATGTCGTAAGTGGAGCAAGGGGTGCCTCAGGGTTGGGGGAGACTGTTGGAAGCCTAGCATAGGCTCAGCCCTGTTTGTCCTGGCTCTCTTAAGGCCTCTTCCATCCTCTGAAATGTCCCATACTCCGTTTCCTGCCCCTTGGGTCCCTACAGGCCTTTTCCCATTTCCACCAGGTCTCCCCAGGCCTTCAGCCTGATTCCCACTCCACTAGACCAAGCGCTTTCTCCTCACTTATCTCTTGAAGAGCTCTGAGGTGTCCCAGAGGGCTGGACTGAATTGCTTCATTGCATCGCTGCATGGCGCGATTCTGGAAATAGCCACATTTCCAGAGGCTGAATTGTATTTTGATATTGCTACCACTTCCAGAATAGCGCCATGTGGCCAAGCAATCCATTTTCCTGCTTTGTTTCAGAAATTTCTGCAGCACTGGGCAGACCTCATTAAGGCAGAATTAGTTAGTTAATTTGACCAGTCTTATTACTGGGAAGGCACACTACATTCCACATAGTCAATTGAAGGTATGCTCACATGATCAAAATTTGGAGGTTTGGTAATGGACATATATTTATGACAGTTGCAATGTCCAAGGGTCATGTGATCCCCTTTTGCAACCTTCTGACAAGCGAACTCAATGAGGAAGCCAGATTCACTTAACAACTGCATTACTAATTTAGTAACTGTGGTGATTCACTTAACAACTGTGCAAGGTTGTAAAATGGGCAAAGTGTGCTTAATAATTGTCTTGCTTAGTGGAAATGTTGGGCTCAATTGTTGTTATATGTCAAGGACTATCTTTTGGGCTCAATTGTTGTTATATGTCAAGGACTATCTTTAAGAGAGTTCCATTCTGTGAACTCAGCCCAGGTTCTGTGCCTCTCCACAACTGCTCAGGATCTCATGTAACCTCAGACCTCAACAGAAGGAATGGAAATTTATTACTTATCTTCTTTCTAGGGATGGCTCCTGGATTCACAAATTCCTCTAATGTGTGTTTTAAATATATACTGCTCAAAAAAAAATAAAGGGAACACTAATGTATAGGATCCTATACGTTTGTGTCCCCTTTATTTTTGTGAGCAGTATAGATTACTCAGCAAGCCATAGCAACATGTTTCACCCATCACAGTTGCCCAATCACTAGGATAATACTAGAATATCTCCCAAGTTTTTTATATTAGTTTACTAACAATTCAGTTTGGACGATATTAAAAATAAGGATTTTCAGAGACTTCTTGGTTTAACTGCAACTTGCACAATGAGGCTACAGGTGTAAGCAAATGAATTCTTTTGCTTTCTGTTTAGTCTTTCACGTGCTATGATACAATCATCTGAACCCGTTCATTGTTTCCCAGCCTCGACTTAAACAAATATACAAAATGGAAAAGCACCAAGGCATCTCCCCCCAAATAGTGATAATGGCTCAGGTTAGCAGTATTCTGCCTTGATTTTTCTCCTTTGTTAAACATGTTTCAGAACCTATGTGGAATTCCAGATGCTCCAAAGGATTAATTCTGACCATTACAGACATTCATCTAATTCACAGTCTCACATGCGTAAGCTTCTTGTTCTTTGAAATGGCTGGAAAGGCCTTTTAAATGCCCACATCAACAGTGGTTTCTGTTTACTTTTCTCTGGAAAAAGAACTGCTTCACTTTCAGGAGTAGGAAAGCGTTCCTTATATACATCAGGATAAGATTTCTGAAACTGAAAAGGAATAACCAGGGTTAAGGAAATTGTTTTAGTTTGTTCACTAAAATCAGACAATGTAGAATTCTGACCTCTCACTATAAGAAAGAAATATTTGACATATATTTTGTCAAACAGTATGGCATAATCTATAGTACTTAAGTTATTTATTTAAATGCACCCCGTCTGTATTATTTTTATAAATAACTCAAGGCAGTGAATATATCCAATACACTTTCCTCCTCTTATTTTCCCTGCAACAACCACCCTGCTGTTTTTGTTATTTCCACAATCCAAATATACGCTTATATATATCCATTTTGTTTTGAAACAGAAATACTGTGATTATTTCACTGCTGTAAGTTCAGTTAAAATGATTAAGCCATGATAAGACTATATTATTTAAAATAACCATATTTTAATCATTAAAACATAATAATTTTGGTAATCAAATTCATATTTATAGGTTCCTGCCTCACATTTAAGAATATGGTTGTAAGTCACCCAGAGTCACTTCTTAGTGAGATGGGCAGCATATAAACTTAATAAATAAAATAACAAATAAGATATATTTGATTATTTACAATCTTTTAGAAGCTATGAGCATCTGCAATAAGACTGCAATGTATACAAATTGTAAATATTTCTAGATTCTAGAAAAAACATTTATATTTAAATATTATGGAAAATCCTAAGAACCAACAATTTTAAAAAATTTCCCTTATTGATGCACCTGTCTTGCTGTTGATATTGTTGAAAATTAAAATAAATATTGGGCAATTTCTGATCTGGCAAGCCTGAACAGCCGTGAAGGTTTTGTGTTGTACGTTAAATGGGAGAAATGTTTTTAATGCACTTAAGGCTTTGCATTTGAGTTGCGTTTGAGGTAAATTCTTAACGGTTGTCTCCATGTGCATTGTGTACCTGTAGAAGGGAATTGTAAGATTCTATAAAGGCAGGATATCAGTTCTCTCTTGATCAGGTCAGGATTTAAGTTTATTAAATTCTCCTCTGTTGCTTTGGCAATGTTTGTGATTTATATATCATGTATCTATACCAGGGGTTCCCAACTCCTGGTCTGTGGACTGGTACCAGTCCACAGTGTGCCAGAAACTGGTAAACAGGCAAAGCCCCATCCACGGGATGCAATCCGCACACGAAACCACAGCCCCTCTGGCCTGTGGAAAAAACTCTCTCCATGGAACCAGTCCCTGGTACTCAAAAGGTTGGGGGCCGCTGATCTAGATTGTCTGTCTCCCTCAAGATTTTTGACACAACAAAAATATTTACATATGGCATAAATGTATTGCCCCAGCTGTGGAATATAGTATTTATAGTCTCAGCGCTACAGATGTTTCCAAAGGAATAGTCCTGTGAAAAAACTGATAAACTGCAGGATCAGAATTAAGATTTATTCAACATATATTTAAAAAGATGCTAGTGTGAGTTCTATTATAGTAGTAAGCAGTTACAACATCAGCAAAGCTCTGTAGCCCATCTCTGAGGAACCCACAAGCATCTCTCCTTATCAGTCACTTAAGAGTCTGTACAGAAGGCCTTTATATCTGTGGAGCCTTTCACATGACCCAGAATCCCACAGGGTTCTGAACTGTGAAAGCCTCCAAAAAGTCATTTGAAATTTCAGGAAAAAAAAAAGAATACTTAGTGCACCCAATGAGTTGCTATAACTACTTTCTGGAGCAACTAAAAAACCTACATGGGAACAGAAAAAGAAGCTATGGTTGGATGAAGGAGAACAGTTTTTGAAATTGAATTCAGAATAGATGAAGGTGATGCTAGTCAATAGCAAATCTGTGGTTTAGCCATTTTCCCCTGAGGTTGTTCTTCTACTGAAAGAGAAATTTCACTTCTGAGAATGCTTGCTGATCTTAGCTATCATTGGATTAAGGTGTGAGATGATGACAAGGAATGCATGTGCACAATTACGGTTGGTGTGCCAACTTCAACCATTTGTCAGCTGGTCAGATTTAACAGCAATTATTTATACCATGGTTATATTTATTCTCAAATGTGTCAACATATTTGCTATTAAAAAAATGTTCAGCATTTACAGCTTGCCTTTTCTCTAGAAGCTAATGGCAAAAAAGATAATGAATTATATTTGGCATCCACCATCTCTTCCTTTAGAAGAGACTGAACATATCTCTCATCCATTCTTATTGTTTGTTTGCATTGGTTTTGTCTTGAATTTTGAATCTTGAATGACTGTTCCCTGCGCTAACAACTCAAGCTGGGTGCAAAGGAAGTATACAGGTAGTCATTAATTTATGACCACAATTGAGCCCAAAATTTCTGTTGCTAAGTAAGCCATTTGCTAAGTGAGTCTTGCCCCATTTTATGACCTTTCTTGCCACAGCTGTTAAGTGAACCACTTAACCGTGTGAAGTTAAATATATAGTTGTTAAGTGAATCTGGCTTCCCCATTGATTTTGTCGGTCAGAAGGGTGCAAAAGGTGATCACGTGATCCTGCGACGCTGCTTCTGTCAAAAATATGAATCAGTTGTCAAGCGTCTGAATTTTGATCACATGACCATGAGGATACTGCAACGGTCATAAGTGTGTAAAATGATCATATGCCCCTTTTTCAGTGCTGTTGTAACTTCGAATGGTCACTAAATGAACTGTTGTAAGTCAAGGGCTACCTGTATATTGTCAGCAGGCTTGAGACCCTGGGGATGGATCAACTTCTGAGGTGGTTCTATTATTATTAACACTCCTCTATTATTTTCTTTTCTTGTTTGGTTCTGCTTTTAGTGTAATGATTTTTCATAATTATTATTGTGGATATGTTTGCCTCCTTGAGTTATTTGTAAAACATGATCTTTCCACAAATAATGGTTGGATTATTATTATTATTTTATATTGTTATATTTATTATTTTTGTTATTGTTTGTACGCTGCCCAGAGGCACTTTCCATGAAATAGGAACCATATTTGATAAATGAAAATAATAAATATAAATCAAAGAACCTAATTAATATGAATCCATTTTTCCAACTTATCTGTAAAAAGGGAATTACTTAAATGTTTCAGCAAAAATGAAGAGAGAACTGTAGAAAAATTCAGCAATTACATTTACCTGTTTCAACTTTTTCTTCTTTTCTTTGATGGACATTTCCATATTCATTGTGATTTCTTCCAACAAATTTGCCAGTGGCCCTTGATGACAATTTGTTTTTTGGTGTTCAAACTCATCAGTGCTGATTTGATGACCAAATGATGGCACAGGCAAAATAGCATCTGTATCCGAGTCTGGATATTTTACCTGAATTTTACACATATACACACACACACAAAGCAACAACGCAAGACGACATTTAGAATTTGTTTCTGCTTGTCTCTATGGTTAATAAACATTATGAATTGAAGGCAGGTGAAATATGCTATCATCACCTGAAACAAAATTGACCACTGAAATGATAAAGCTTTTGAATGATAAGCCTTGTTTTGAAATTCATTGTTAGAGGAGACATACTACATATGATGGAAAGAGGGGAGGGCATGTTTATATTTTAATTGTAATAGTTATCCTCATTGAGTTATAAAAAGTTTTTTTAGAAAAAGGAAGGGAGGGAAGGAGGGAGGAAGGATCACAAAATACTTGTAAAGAGAAATTTCAATCTGTCAAGGGGCCCATAAAGTAACTATTAATGATCAGATCATGTTTTCTAACTGGCTTCCTTCTGTTTGTTAATTTATAATGTACCTCCTACATACATACCTGCATAATTAATTAATTAAATGTATATACAGAGTTGCTCATCTTAAAACATCTGGATGGCTTACAACCAATAAAACAGTATAAAATCACATTAAACAATATAAAACCAACAATATCCATCATGCTATTCCCTTTTAAGGTAAATAATGTTAGGCATAGCACAATAGTAAACCAAATACATTTAAAGGCATGAGATAATAAAAATAAAAGGAAAAGTTTATATCAATGCCATTTACTATATCTTATCACACTTTTCTATTCTTGCTTCCTTCACATTCAACTCATACACTGATTTTTGTTCTTTAAACTTCTTGCCTTTCTTTTTCTTTCTTTTCTTTTCTTTTTTTTTTGCTGGATCTCATCCACTCATCCACCCAGGATTTTGTTGGTCTTTCTCATCCTCTCCATCCATTCATACCTCCTTCATGCATGTCACTTTTTCATTCTATCCATACTCATTCTTGATCCTACACATTCTTAAGTACCTGATTCTGACTGCGTTCAACTTTTATGTTTCTTTGAGCATATCCTGTTCTCACTTTCAGATAACAAGGTAGGCAGAAACAGTTTTATAAACATACAGTTTCCTTCTTTTGACACACATTCACTTTGCACAACAGACCAGGTAATATTCACTATTTTTCCAACTGCACTTCCCAGATTTTGATTACTGTCACCTCTTGTGTTTAATTAGAATTCTTCATAGGCCTATTTAGTAAGCTCATTTTTGGGGGGATGCTAATCATTTATAGCATCCATCTTAATTGCACTCTTTAACACTTCTCTATTAGCTCTATAAAAGTCTCTAAACTATGCTTCCCAGTATTCCCTCATTCCATGTAATCAGAGAGAAGCCATGGCCAGGGGACCTTTACCCAGTCTAGCTATAACTAGTGTGTCAGTCATGACTGTACCTGGATTGTGAAATGCTTATGACAACAACTTATGCCCTGATCACTGCACAATTAAACTACTGCCATGTAATTTATGTGGTTGCTTTTGAAGATAAGTCATGAACTGCAATTAATGCAAAACAGTGACCAGTTGGTTAGCAAGAAAAACCTGTTCTGGCAGAATTGCTGTTATCTTGAGGTTACCACACTATTGCTTCCAGTTACAAATGCTAATAATTACATATAAAATCCTATGTGGTGTGGGATAGGATTTATCAGGAAATGCATCCAGTTCAAATATTTAGAGAAGGCCCTTTGAAAGTTTTTCCCCTATGTGAGATGCAAGTGTAAAGGCTAGAAATCAGGGCTTTTTGGTGATAGCCTCACATTTTGGAATACACTCCATGGGAAATAGGTATGATTCTGATCTCCTGTCATTCAGAGATCAAATTATTTTATTTCAACAGTATTTGGCCAATAAAATAATTGTTAAAATAATAATAAAATAATGGGTTAATTGTTGAAATTCTATTCACTTAGCCTGAGGCTTTTTGTTTAGATCACTTACCTATTTATAAATCGTACATTTCCATTGAAATTGCTATGCATTTTCTCTGGCTCTTTTAATATTAACTGCTTCATGCCCTTTTGAGACTACATTCTTTGCAACACTCTTTTTTTTAATATACATTATATGCTATATCTTTCTTTCATTCTCTTATTAATTCTCTTATTTGTGTGTGCGCACTTTCTTAATCCCTGGCTTCCTTCACTTCATTACTGCACTTCATATTTTGTGAGTTCATATATTCCAGTAGCATAACTCCACACAACTCTTTGGTAATCTGAACATGTTTGTTTTTACTCTCTGGTTAACAGTGTTACATTCTCTTTTCTTAGATCCATTTTCCATTTCATCCACTAAGAGATTAATCCATCTTCTGATACTTTCTCATCTAAGGACTCATATGTTTTCTTCCTGAAGTTGATATAACTTTACTTTTGCTTCTTTCGCTTCCTTTTCTGCATGACCATTTTCCTTCACGACTCACCCTTTAATTCTACCCAAAAAAATGGACTGTTCCAAATTTAGAAAATTCTCATCACGATTGAATCCTTTACTAATCATCTCAAACTTTTGTTACAGTCAATTTTACTCTTAGAATTATATTCATTTCTTAGCCATGTGTATTTATGAATAAGTTACTGCTTATGTCACATACCTGAAACAAAATTGTTTCCCTTAAACAGATACTCATCAAAGTGTCACCTTTCCCTTTCTTGGATTTCAGAATGCCTTGTGTACTCACCCAAACATCTATGCCAATTAGACAATTATTCATTCATAGTCATTCAGAACATTGCATAATTTACTCAGAACTCATATTTAGCTTTTCCATTATCACCATGCACTGTAATATAACATGGAACTACTACCATACTATGATTTCCTATTTCCAAATTCACATACATCAACCTAATTTATATTAATTCATATAATGTACTATTAACTAAAGGAGGGATAATAGCAATTCTACAAGGGAAACTTTAATCTGCTTATTTACAGTAGGTGGCTTTTCAAAATGTAGTAAAAAAATTATATACAGGAGAACAAAATTCAACCATGTACAGCTCACCTGGACTCTTTGGAGATGTGCTATATATTCCTCAGCTGCAGTTTTTAAGGCTGAAGGAACATTTAAGATCTCATGATAATTGTCCATCATGAATGAAACCAATTTAGCTGCTAACAGTTCATCCAAATCCACTTCATCCTTGGAGCAAAGAATGCAGTGAGAAAAGGTTTGAACCATCTGAAACACAGAAGAGGATATCAGTGACATCCGGTCTCACAATATATATTGAATTTGTTATTTATTATCCCATAAGTGATGGAAATTGCTATTACATCTTCTACTACAGATCATGCATTGAGCCAAAGGCTATGTGACTTTCAAGATTCCTCCCAACCCAATGATTAAAGTATTTATAAACTGATCTGATATTGTTGGAGGCCTGCTACCACATTTGTCAACACCAATTTTTGTAGCCCACTGATTCAGATATACACATTCAGATGGTATCAACCTAGGGATAACCTAATAAAAAACATGAAAATTAACATATTTTCCCTTACAATGAATTCCCTTTCGAAGTTCTTTTGGTTCTCATACCCATTCAGACAGTGCTATAAATTTAAAGAAAACCAGGCATGTCACAGAGCAAGCAGTGCAAAAAAGGTTAAAGGACTGTGGTGAGAAATAGGTGGGAAGAGCTGTAACTGCCAACTTTCATCCACTTTGGCAGGAAAATTCAGCCTGGGGATTTAACTTCAAGTTATACCGGCAGAAGGCGACAAGAGAATATTGCAAACCACACCCTGCATTGCATAGATTACTGCTATTTCTAGAACAAGTCATTATTTTGTAACTAAGAAGAGTCTCCACCAGAGCAATTCCAAAATGATTTCATAGTGTATTTCTATTTCTGGCAGATACACACCATTGCTCTTGTTCCAAGTGTATCTGAAAGAGGTGGAAGATCTTTATTTGACTGGATCTTAGCCATCAATGTCATCAACAACTGTAGCTTTCGCCGATTTGCTGGTGGCAGAAGAAGACAACAAATCTGCAAGGCTTCAGTAGCTAGCTTCTTTTCCTGCAAGATTCCTGAATCAAAACATGATTTTAAAAGATGTTCTTAAGTACTTTTTTAAAAAAAACTTCAGTGTTGTGTTTCTTTGAAAATGAGAATTTTCTCATTCATATTGTTAATTCATTTTTTGGCATTCCAAATACGAGCTGTAAGTAAAAGGAAAACCATTAAAAGATTCGAGCTGAGCTGTTTTAATCACCCCCAAAAAGTATTTGAGGCATGCCTACTGATCTTTTCTTGGGAATGTTTTTGTTACGCTTACAAAGTAATATTTGTAAGTAATATAACTCTAATACAAAGTAATGTTGCGAATAAATTAAGGTGTTTTTTTAAGGAGACAGCTGGACTTTTCTTGTTTTTGTTTGAAGATAATAATAATCAGTGCTTTTTTTCTAAAAAAAAAAGGTGCCGAAACTCACACATGTCATACAACCCACCTTGCCTACCCTACAAGGTTCCATCCCAAAAAGGTGCCGGAACTCCGTTCTGGGCGTTCTATGAGAAAAAAAGCCCTGATAATAATAATAATAATAATAAAGTTGGAAGGGACCTTGGAGGTCATCTGGTCCAACCCCTTGCTCAGGCAGGAAACCCTATACCATTTCAGACAAATGGCTGTCCAGTCTCTTCTTAAAAACTTCCAGTGTTGGAGCATTCACCGCTTCTGGAGGCAGGTTGTTCCACTGGTTAATTGTTCTAACTGTCAGGACGTTTCCCCTTGTTCTAGGTTGCTTCTCTCCTTGATTAGTTTCCATCCGTTGCTTCTTGTCCTTCCTTCAGGCGTCTTGTTTCGCTTCTCATCCAAGAAGCTATTTTGGCTTTGACTGGATGGTGGGGAATGGAAGGATTTATATTCCTTGCAGATAGCTGGTCATTTGCATTCTCTTAGAGAGTCGCTGAGGCTTTTGGAGGTTTTCTGTGTCCTCAGGGTCACCTGAGTAGTGCAAATGTGTTGGAGCCTTCTTGGCTGCAGGATGTTTTCTGCCCTATGTCCCTTCATTGTTGAAGACAGGCGCAGGCGCAACAGGTGACCCTGATGACACAGAAAATCTCCAAGGGCCGTCAACAACTCCCTAAAAGAATAATCCTCACAGAGGAGCACCAGCTATTTGTAGGGATTCTGCCTACCCTAAACAATAGATACAATAAGTGTGGGGCAATATTGACATTTTATTGCCCTTACTGTCATGAAGTAATCCCTATTATGGGTTCTTACTCCGGTCTGTTCAAAGTAGGTTTGATTCTTCCTCTAATGGCACTCCAGGCAAACTTCTGAATAAACTGCCTCAAGGTTTATTTGCATTGCTGAAGTCTGCCTTTAGGAAGCTTGTCTTCCTAAAGAAGGGTTATAATGTCTGAATTGGGGATCCTAAAGATTCAAATTAATAAGGAGGAAAAACAACAACAATTATTCTCCGAATATCAAGTTCTAAAAGGAGTCACTTTCATTAAGAAAGATGCTGAAGGACAGCAGTAACATTCTGCAGCACAAACACTGTGCACTCAGCCTGCCAGATACGTGTTTCGCAACATAACTTACCTAGCACACTGACAAAGACATCAAAAAACTGGAAAGTGAGAAGAGGCTCCTTCATGTGTGCATAATAATCTGCTATGGTTCTAAAGACATCTCTTTCAAAACCTGAATAGGTGGGCTGTTTCATATCTGGACATCTGGGCCCTATAGGATGGAAAAGGGGGAAGTAGAAAGAAAAAAAAGTTTCCTGGTTAGAAGCTACATTTCTGCTACATAGGTGGCAGAAACAGTGCTAATTTATATGTGTAGTCATAATGAAAATTTTTTTATTTATTAAAAGTATAGCTGCCCAGTTCACACACAGGTGACTCTGGGTGGCTTACAAAATTTTAAAAATCCACCAGAGAATAAAAACCCATTTAATAATAACCACCCCACCTCCATGGCAGCAACAACACAATCAAATCCGCCATATGATTGGCTCTTATCCCCATTTGTGATGAAGCCACATTTTTAGAACTTTTCAGAAAAGCAACAGGTGGAGGGCAACCGTACCTCAGAGGGAATAATGTTCCACCAACAACAACACTATGCTGTCACATAGATATAGGAATGAAAATAGGAATTAAATTGATAACAAGGACTTAAGCTAGTGTCCTTCTAAAAACTTGAAGCGCAATCACAGCATGTCAAGAATGAAACTTTGGCAGCTACATACATCTTTATTTCAACTTGCCATTAGAATAAGGTGTTGCTATAGAATGGATTAGATGGAGAAACGAAACCTCTACAATTCCGCTGAAGACCATGAGAGCCTGAAACCTTTCCAAGGACACTTGCAGCAGGTATGGAGAGGAAGTAAATGGTTCCCATAACAAAGTGAAATTGTTTACATGGACTATGTGAGAGGGTGGGGATTTGGCCGGAGAAATTATTGTTTAGTTTTATGAACTAAACTCTGGGAACACCAGAGTTAATTTGCTTTGACATGACCATGCTGTGTATTCAATAAACACTAAAATTTTTGGAAACAGAATGAACCCGGAATTTTATTTGAATTCTCGAGCTGGATGTTGACATGACATGTCATGTCTATTCATAAACTTCAGTAATTTCAAGATAGTTTTAAACTTCCTAAACAATTTGGTGGTTTAAATGTTTGCAGCACAGATTTCTCTCAGCCAAACCACTTCAGAATAGACCCAGGGAATTATCTGTTTGATAACAATCCAGCATAATCCTCTTCTCCCTGCTTCTCCAGATAGATAATCCCTAGTTTAAAATGGATTATCTTTAACACAAAGAGTTACCATGATGAACAATTGAAAGAGCTTTCTAATAGTAGGGAATGACTATAACTAAGAACAATATACTCATATTGCGTTTCCCCGAAAATAAGACTTACCCCGAAAATAAGCCCTAGTTTTGGGGAAAAGTGCACACTTAAAAATCAAGCTAGGGTGGGGGGTGGAGCTTACCATTGAAGCCAGGCCTCCTATGGATTGACATTTGCCTCGCTTCACAGGCCTGACACTTGCCTCTTCATTCTGCAGCTGAGAATGGAGCTCCAGCCTGCATGTCACAGTCAGTGGCCTTTCCAGAAAGGCTTCTGCAGCCAAGAACAGAGCTATGGATTCAATCTGTGGCTCGGTTCTGACTGCGAAATGCAGGCTGGAGCTCCATTCTCAGCTGCAGAATAAAGCTACTCCTTTGGCTGCAGAACTGGGCCACCTGGGTGGGGCTGTTGGTGCTGCTGTCACGAGGTGAGTGGAAAAGACACCCATTGAAAATAAGACCTGGTGCCTCTTCTGGAGGCAAAAAAAAAAGACCAGGTCTTATTTTCAGGGAAACACGGTACTACCTGAAACCATACCACAAAGCAACTTACAAACATACCTTTTTCAGTAATTGTTTCTTCTCATATATCCACCATGTGTGATATGGCCATTTCAAAAAACTTTAAAACATTACATTCTTTATTACCAAATCCAAATTGCCTCTATGCGTGATGTTAAGTAAGACATAGAATGAAGGGATCATCTTTCCTTTGAGTACTTAAGCATACTCTAATTTGACTTATGGGATGGTAGCAATACAAATTTTAAATAGCATGCAATCCACTGACACTTTCAATCTGAAGAAACCAAGCTTAACTTAGTATTTTAGCATCATTATCTATTAAAGATATAAAAGGAAATTTCTTCTTCACCTGTATTAGCAACTTTTAGAAAGTTCAACATGATTCATCCTGCTTTCCTTAGTAACCTTAAATGTCCAAGGACACATGTAAATTTGTAAGAGGACTGGCCCTATAGTATCTGAGGGTCAAAGACAGCCAAAAGTATAGGTAGTCCTCAACTTATGACTACAGTTGAGCTCAAGATTTCTGTTGCTAAGTGAAAAATTTGTTAGGTGAGTTTTGTCCCATTTTACAACCTTTCTTGCCAGTTTTTAAATGAATCAATGAAGTTAAGACAGTAACATGGTTGTTAAGTGAATCTGGCTTCCTCATTGACTTTGCTTGTCAGAAGGGTGCAGAAGGAGATCACATGACCCCGGGACACTGTAACCTTCATAAATATGAGTCAGTTGCCAAGCATTTGATTTTGATCATGTGACCATGGGGATGCTGCAACAGTCAAAAGTGTGAAAAACGGTCATAAGTCATTTTTTTCAGTGCCATTGTAACTTCAAAAGGCCACTAAATGAACTGTTGTAAGCCGAGGACTACCTGTATTAATCCCATCATCAGACTACTCCTTAGAAAATATTCAAATTGGAAGCAATTGGGTGATAGGTGATAAGAATGAGACATGCTATGTTGCAGATTTATTTCCTCCCAACTCTGTTGAAGAAAGTATCATATTATTATTAGAAAAAAAAACTGTGATAGAAAACAGACTCATCTAATCAAAATCAGTCTATTAAAAAGGAAAATAATGAGGGAGTTCCACTTTATTGAAGTCAGTGAGAAAGCATACGTTTGAAAAGCAACATACAGAAATAAAAAATACTTACAGTTTGCTAAGCATTTCATTGCTGATAGAACCCAGTGAGGAACCTCTTCTGCATCAAAGAATGTTAAGTGGTTTAATATGTTAGCACTTATTAGACCAAAGAAATTGGGTTTTAAATTACAACTGCAGCATTTATTTATTTATTTAATGATTTTATGCTTATTCCCATAGTAGGATTAATATTTCTCCTTTTTAATTCTCAGCCATAAAGTGAATTATATGTGTCTTTATAGGCTGCTGCTCATTTATCAGCTAAGGATTACTTCATGTAGGCATTAAGGAAAATTATTTTAGTGTACAGAAAACAGTACCAGTAGTAATGTTGCAATAGAAAGCAATAACTTTAACAGAATAAGATAATAAGTATTCTGTTTCTTTGTGCAGAGATGAACTCTATATAATAAAGCGTTTTTAAAAAGCACAACCTAAATGAATACACTCAGTTTTGCTAAGGATGCTGCTTATCATTTCAACAGGGCATACTGTAGTGAAACATACTTGCAGAAAGTTAACTCATACAACACTTAATGGATTCAGTTTCAATTTATTATCTCTCACCCAGCCAATTTTTAACGATAGTTGCACTATCGTGGAAGCCATACTGTCTTCAGAAAAGGTCATAGAAAGTTATTTCTTGAGAATATCTGGTTCCAAATCTCCTGATGATCAGTCCTGGCAGGTTTATGTAGCCACTGAGGAATACTAGAGACAGATGGAACTTTGAGGACAACCCATAACAGTTTCCATTTGAAGGAAATCTACCTCAGAGATAGAAATGGAGTGACTATAAAACGTCCCTTATTTCCACATAGGTGTGCTGTGCTCAGTCCTGGAATTAGTTTGAGTTGGGGGGGGGGGGTAGTACAAGGAAAGACAGCAAACATAATTAGAATTTATCAAAGTTTCCTAGATTTCAAGGGGAATCAAATTACCATAAATTCTTTTTTTATTTCTTTAGACATATCTGACCCAGAACTTTATTGGCACTGAATGAGCAGGTTAGTGAGCAAGATATATTTGTTTCCTGAATATATTCCAACAAAACCATAACATATTAAACAGTTCCACTTACTTGATTTATCTTCTAAAATGACAGTTCCTTGTTTGTTGACACTGTACACATTCTGAATGATGTCCTTTGGATTGACAAGTTTAGTGTCTAAAATATCATTCAGAGAATCCAAACCTAAAGTTTTTTGCAAGCTATAGAAGACATAAAGTAAACCGATTTAAATTGATAGGCAGCAGTTACCTGGAAAATAATTTTCAGCTAAATAGTTCACATTGTCACTGGATTATGTACATATACATGAATGAATAGGTTATGTGCTTGTGTGCATAACAAAACCATCTTACTTACTAAAACCTCATTAGTAAACCTCATTAAAACCTCATTTGTTTTAAAACAAAAATTATTTGCATCTTTCAGATGCAAACCAAATTACATATGATAGTGCTACTTTAATATAAAATACATTAAACTATAACAAAAACGAAAAGACAGTCCAGACAATTACACCACCTTCTCTTCAGTGTTTCATACATGTAGTCCTCAACTTAGGACCATTTCTTTAACAATAGTTTGAAGGTATGCTGGCCTTAGAAAAAGTAACTTATGACCCTTGCACCATCCATGTAGCCATGTGGCTGCAATTTGAGCAGCTTTCTGCAGTCATGTGCACACGATTTGCGATCAAATAATGAGCACATCAGATTCCAATAAGCAAGGTCAATTGGGGAAGCCAGATTTGCTTAACGGCCACATGATTCATTTAGCAATTGCAGTAAAAATGTTTGTAAAATTGGGCTAGTCATGCAATGACTCGCTTAATGATTGCATTACTTAGTGTTCAAAATTCTGAAACCACTCAATTGTAGTTATATTATTCCACCTGTAACAAACCCATCCAGCTCCTGTATGATACACTTTGGAACATATGACTTACAGAACAAAACACCCCAAAAATAGGAAAATGTTTCACTCTACATTCCAAATTAGGTCTTTGCTTAATTGTTGTAACAAAACGTCTCACTAAAGGAAAGGTAGTCATTTTTCTAGCAGTGTATATTGTCGATAGACTAGAAGCATTCTTTATTAAAGCATCTACATGAAACTGCTGGGTGACATCATCCAACACCACGGGATGAATTATCATCAATATGTTGATGACACAGCTTTACATCTCCATCTCCGGTGATCCAAGTGATGCTGTGTCTGCCCTCAACTGAGACCTGGTAAGGCAGAATGGCTGTAGATACATAGAGCCTTGAGATCTGGGGGTTTATCATATTTAGTTCTGGATGGGAGGCAGTGTAACACCATTGTTACGCAAACTGCATTGGCTGCAGAACTGCTTCTGGATCCGATCCAAGATGTTGGTCACTTATCTTTAAAGCCCTTTATGGTAGGGGTTCAGGATATGCGAAGAGCCTTCTTTCTTCAATGCCCCACTCTGCTGGAAGAAAGGGCATACTCTGGACCTCATTAGCCAAGGAATTGTAGCTGGTAGGGTCCAGAAGAGCCTTTTCTGCCATGCCTCTCTGCCATTTGGAACATCTTGACAAACTGGTAGCAGGTGATATCTACTATCTCTCTTCTGACCTTCAGGAAAAGCCTTAAAAGTCAGATTCTCAGGAGGGATAGAGTATATTCCAAAGGAATAAGAGACAGATTGATGTCAAGCTCCAAAACCAAGAAAGACATGCAGAATTTCTTCTAAGCAGTTTCCCTTATTGTTCGTCACCTACAGACAGAAATATTGCCAAACTAAAGCAAACTATTTGCCTCATTATAGTTATACTCTGAGAACTTCTAGGGAAGAGCTGTCTTGACCCTGTCAATCAAACTATCTAAAATTTACTCTTTTATTCTTCTGGAATGCACTCCTTCCCTCCTGGACTACATTCCACCACATTTATTTTGTAAAAGAACAACTCAGGTAACAGGCTTACTATGATAAAGTCCTGGATTTCCATATATCTTCTACATTTGTCTCTGTTAATTGTCGACGATGGATGAGTTTGCATGTTGGTACTTCTCCAATTGCAATGCTGTGACGTTTGAACCACATTTCAGAATTCTGTAGCAATGTGAGGAGAAAAACTCTAATTATTGTTAATCTATAATTTTGTCCTTTCGTGGCAATGTTGTTTCCCCAGCAACATATTTAACCAACTCTATGGAAAGAGTCACAACTAAGTACAATTCAAATTTAATGAAACAAGTTCCATAAATCCACCAATTTTAATTTTTCTTAATGTCTTTGAAGGCAGAAAAGATGATAATCTTGACATAATATCATGTGTTTGAATTTCTCAACGCATTATACATTAATGTATGGGAAGGTATCTTACCAATGTGATAGGTTTCACTGGGACGTGGTCTTGGAAAGTAATTTTTTCAACGTCCCAGTTTGGAAATTTCACTATTTCTTTTCGGTAAGGAGATCGTTTAGGGTACGGTTTTAATGGTGAGAAAGGAGGAAACCTAAAATTTAAAAACAATCTATTAAAATCTTCATAAGAACATTATCATTCTGCTCTGAGAATCTAGCCTCATTGATGCTACTAGATAACCTTTCTTTAAGCTGAAAGAACTTTGGAGACAAAATAACACAACTACAAACTAAAAACCGAGCTTTCAAAATTTCTACAAAACTAAAGATACACAAACAATGATATCAATTTGTAACATTATCATGCTAAAAATCCGTTTTGCTTTGAGAGGGGAAATCAAAACAAAGTTTTATCCAAACTTAATATCTTTATAAATAGATAAACTTGTGACTGTAAAATATTATAGTATTTTCACCTTCACTTTTTTCAATATTTTTCCTTTACTTTTATTCAAAGGAAGTTATCATTTGGGAACAACTAAACCCAGGATTCATGTGCTGTTTTACTAACAATTTTATATTTTGCTTCTATTTTAGGCCCATTTTTAAATGTTTCCTGGTAGGACAGATACATTTTGTATCTCAATTCTCACAAATTCTATTGACAATGTTATTTTCAAAGTGTACAATTCTGTTTTAAAGCCTGTGCTATTAGGAAACAAATGATGAAATCTGACAATGTTATCTATTTTGTTTTATTTTACATTATTTCATGCAAGCTGTTTATTGCATTATAAAACTGTACAAATATTTCAGTTTATTCACTATTACAAATCATTGGATGATGTATTTTCTTGCCACAAGTGGGTGGAGTTTTTTTTTATCATAGGCAATAATAAATTAAGTGTCTATCACAGGAACATAAGAATAATGTTGGATTAGATCAAGTAATTTAATAAATCATCCTCTTCCAATGTTCAAGCAGATGCTCCTGGATCTCCAAAGTATATATGCATAACATTAATCAAGTGGGTTGCCTTTGATGCTAGAATGTTCTCAGGGTTAGTAGCCATCAGTTCATTATTTTTTATGAATTTCTAAATCCTGTCAAGGTATCTGTCAGAGGAAATAATATCAGGATTATTTAGGATCATGTATGAGTCCTGACAATCTAATCATGAACCTGAAATTATTCCATAAATGTTCCATTATGATCAAGAATATGTTATCCCCAATCATTTTTTTGTGAAGTTTTAGTTGCAACTGCGTTTTTACCATCACACAGAAGAATTTCAGCCAATAAAATCATGATAACGCTCAAAATATGAACGGGGAAACGGTGATCTGGTGTTGATTTGGCTTCATACCTGTCTAAAAGATATTCCAGCATATTGTAATGTCTTTTGCAATGGCTGGACACACTACAGTTCAGATCAGTGTTTCTCAAACTTAGCAATCTGGAAATTGCGGGCTAGGGAATTCTGGTAGTTGAAGTCCACACATTTTAAAATTGCTAAATTTGAGAAACACTGGCTTAGATGGAAATGTTATACAATGCTTTACTTCCTACACATGTTCCCCAACGATAACAATCGGTTAATTCCACCCTCCTAGCCTTTCCAAATTAACTTAGTCAGGTAAACAAGTCTTTGAGGCTCAGTCCCCATAGTAGTTAAAAGTTTTTGAAGTGACATACAATCCTTGGCTCCCTACAAATGCTCTTGCGTTTGTTGGGAATTAGATGTTGCCTCAGCCCCTTAGCTCCTTTCATAAAACCAGCTGCAAAACAAATTTGCTGCTGAGCTCCAGGCTGTTTTTCAAGCTCTGTTTTTAAGCAATATTATTATTAAACATCCAACCCAAACTCCAGGCAAGGATCAAGCCAAGATGGGCTGTTTACCATGGCTTGTGGTTATAAAAATTGAATGTCTGTGGTTGTTGCACTTGTCTGAATGTCACCTCCTGCTTTTTTGCCTCCTGTTCTCCTATTCACCCATATCCCTCAGGGTTGGCTTTCCCTTTTAAGCCTGAGGGTATGGAGGGTATGGTGTTGCTAGGCAGTAGTTATTAGAAAGCTGAACTAACACCATTTTAGAAGGGAAAGGCAACCCACTATTTAGTGAAGCAAGAGTGTCACATGGACAGATAAGGGATGAATGAGAAGGAACCATTACAACACTAGCAATAGGGATAAGGCACTAGAAAGTAGGAAATTGAGCTAAACTATATTAGGAAAGTTAGAATCTGAGAACTTTAAAAGCAGACACGCATAAATTCGTCATTTGTACTTGACTATAAAAGGGTGTTGCGTCCCTGGCACGGACCCAGCTTGTTTTAGTGCTCTTGCTTTGTGTGCAGAATAAACTTATGAACTCTGAACTATGATATCTGGTGTCTGACTTGAGCAAGGAACAAACCATAGAGAATAAATCCTTCCATCAGGGTGCTGACCTGGTTATCTATAGACATGAGATGCTCTTGAAAAAGTTAGGTGTGGCTAAACTAGTCAGCTAGAATGGCCAATTGAGTAGCTGGAACACTGGCATGTACGCCAAGGGACTATGTGGGCCAGTTTGCCTCTCAGTAGATGGTGAGGGGAAATTGAGCACTTCCCCTATCAATTTCCAGCACTGTAAAACATTTGTCTTGGGGGAGGATGAGTTAAGCCTAGCCTTTACAAAAGGGGGAAGCATTTCTACCCATCTGCAGCACTTCATTCCCAAGTACAGAGGGCACTTTCAACCTCATCCTCTCTCTTCCTCGGTTACACTGGTTGGTCTCAACTTGCTCAGGATATTGAACTCTTTTCAGCAACTGCCTCCAAGTTTCAAAGTCTGCCTTAATAGCCAGCAGTTCCTTGTTCCAGATATCATGGAATTGTTCTGACGGATTTAACTTTCTTCTGTTTTTAGCTTTCTTGTAGCATGTAGCAAAATAGTTCACACTGCAATGTCAAAAATGTCACTTTTATCTACAAATGGCTGAATATAATCAGTTATGTTGAAGAATAGAGTGAGTGGAGAAATCCTTTTCTTATTTGTTTGAAACTTTACTGAATATGATATTCTATCTGAATGGAGTACCTTTCCAGCACAGGTTGGCTGAAGAAGCTGAGTTTTGCAAAGTTTGGAATGAAGATGTATTACTAGTTTGTGAAAGCCATTAGCTTCTGCATAGGTCTGACCCACTTTGAGAGTTGTCAGTCTAGGGTATTTTTTAATTTGGCTGGGTCTTTCTGGACCCTTTTTTTTTTGTAGAGATGCAATGTCCATGGTATTAATAGCATTGACTTCAAAGTTGCATTTTTCAGGAGTGGCATACAGATTATGTTATCTGAGGCACTGCAAGGTATCTTTTACAGGGCATTTGTGATGCTGAAGGGAGCATGAATAAATCAGGTGTCATCTAAATAGATTATGACAAATTGGTTTGTGAAATCCTAAAAAATGTCATTCATCAAGTGATAGAATATTGTGGCAGCGTTGCACAAACCAAATGAGATCAAAATGTATTCAAAACACCCATATCAGATGGGAAGGGCAGCTTTTCATTAGTTGCCTTCCCAGTTTCATGCCAAGTTGTATGTGACTCCCTCTAAGGCTGAGTTTTGTAAAACTTCATGCCTTCCACATATGCCCCAGAAGTTCTGAGATAAAGGCAAAAAGTACTGATTTTGGATTATGACCTGGTTGAAGACCAAGCAATCATTGTGGAACCTCAGTTCTCTAGGCATTTTCTTGACAATAGAATACTGTAAAAGCAGCTATAGATGGAGAGATAAATTAACTGTCTCGAGGGGTTTTTTTTTGTAATGAAATGTTGCAGAGTTGCAAAAGTTCAGTTTCTGAAAGGAAGTAAATCTATATTGGAATCTGGGCTCCAGGGACCATGTCAGCAGGCCATTCATAGGGACAATATGGTTGTAGTGATGTTGTTCACTGAAGGCATAGCTGACGTCACATATTTGTCTGGAAGATTGTTTTACTCTAATTTATTTTTGCTGAGAAATGCTCCTTAAAGATGGATGAATTGAAATATATTAATTCCTTTTGACAGATGATTTGAAAGTCATGCATTTCTCAGAATCATTGGAAAATTAAGGGCAGGGGCCAGGTAGAGTTATAGTTCCTCTACATATCCTTCTAACCCCATTTCCACTAGGCCCATGCCACTTCAAATAGCAGGGATCTCTCATCCATTGTTTCTAGAGATACAGATGGCTGTCTGGCATGTCACAAATTCTGTAGGCCTCCAAAGATATCAAGTCCATGAAATTAATGGTCTGGATCTTTATAGGCAAGGTCAAGTGCCTATAAAGCCCAACAAGGTTTTGTAATTGTGAGTTGCAACTAGGTAAGTGGCTATAGTTCCCCAATCGAGGAGTTCCTCTTAGATTGAATGCAGCCCATTTCTGAGCATGCTGGAGTTTGGTGTCTTCACTGGACATATCCTGTATATCTGTATTTTGTAATTTTCATCCAGAGATAAATGAGATCTAATTCTGCCCATTAGCATGGACATCAATATCCAGGCACCAGTGGATCAACTATAGGGAAGAACATTCTACTCTGGCCATCTCCTCCTTATTGCTTAGGCAATCGTAGCAGCAATAGTCAATGATTTCACAGCAGCCATTTGGAAACAAGTGGTGTGGAGAAAACACCAGCTCCAGGCAGCGATAGGAACACAAACAAAGATAGTTAGCGTTCTGCAGTAACAGCTCACCCCCGCAAGGGCAACTCCCCACAATGTCTATAACTTGCACAAGTAACAATAATCAAAGTTCGGATGGCTGCTAGTCTCCAAAGCAGTAATGACCAGCCTTTCCTTCTCTTCTGTCATCGCTCGCAGTCTCAGGTCTCGTCGGTGTCAAAACCCTGCCCCCTTTCCTTTATTGTTAAAATCTGAATTTAGCAACCCCAGCAACTTTCTCTCTCCTCACTCTCTTGCCTCCACTCGGGATTTCCACCCTGCGAAGGAAAGCAGTAAAATTCCACTTTCCCACTCTCTTTCACTATCTCTCACTATCTCCTTCCCTCTCCTTCCCAGAAAGGGATCAGCTAAAACTTCAAATCCCTCTTCAACTTCACCTGGTCTCTCTCCGACAACAGCAACAGCAACCACCGCCACCCCCTCTCTTTTCTTAGTGATGGAATTCCAGGTTGCAATTACAGTTGTTAAATGGTGATTACAGATATTGCCGCAGGAATGATGTCATTTCTTCATTTCCGGTAGCTAAGGATTCAACACTTGCTTGAAATACAGTCATTTAAAAATGAACACACACACATTTTCTGCCCCAAGAATCCATTCAGTTATTTACCTATATAATTTACCATTATCCTCAAAATCATCCTTGCCCCATCTTCCTTTGATATCTTCAATAACGTGATTCTTCAGGAACTTTTTGAGAAGCTGAGCTGTTTGAGCACGAGTTACTTCTGGGCTAAAGTTTTGGTTGCATCTTAGCAGTTTGTGCAACCACTCCACAGCCTCGGAAGCTGTGAAGCAACAGTCGTAGCTTTTGAAGTGAAAACGATGTTTCCGTAAAGGCATTCCATTTCGAAAGAGTTCAACAGTTTCATTCCACTGAAAAGAAAATAGGAAAGCTTTATCTAAGCACAAGTTAGTACTTGTTGGGCAGCACCTGAGAAGGAACAAAAGACTGCATGAAGAAGCCTAACTTGTACCTTCTAACTTAAGCTTTTAGGCTTTTTCCATATTAGCCAAGATCTTCCCAGTTTTTATATACAGTATTATTTCTTATAAGCAAGTCTAAGAAATGACTGGTCATTTCTTAGGTTGTTTTTCAAGACCTTCTCCAATATAAGCACACTTCCTTTAACATCTATTTGTTCTAAAATCATGCTTGACTACATTCAGGTTTTAAATTACTTGAGCAGAAATCTGTCTTGATTCGTGTCTATAAATAGGTGCACAAAACTGTGGTATGGTGATTGTGCATTTAAATTAATCATGCTTAATATTGGCCATTTTACACTGTTTTATTTATCTTAAAAAGTTGCATTCTGTTTCATTGCTCACAAGAGATTAAAAAAAATATGGAGAAAAATTGATTCCCTTCACCACCTGTCTTTGTTCATATATCACAGGCAAGACTTAAAGCTGATTTCTTTTTACAGAGGAAGGAGAATAACGCTCCCTATAATTCAGAGGATGCAACACATTTTTTATTGAAGTTTTCAGAATGCCGAGCCACTGCCCAAAGCTATTAGGACTGATAAGTGGAAAACCAAATAACCACATTTGTATTTTGTAATATTTTGTAATGTTTGTACTTGTCTTAATTTTGTGTGCTACCCAAAGTCAGTTGTTGCAAATGAATGTTATTCCATACACTTTATATGGAAATCATCATATAAATAACATTTATGCCAATTATGAAGTTGCATTTTTTTCTAGAATCATCATTCCTGCCAGTCTTTGTAGCTCTGGTGGCCCTACTGTACTTATCTTCATCAAGTGTGCATCTATGTGTATTTATTCATATTAGGGGCAGGAAGTAAAGATTCAAATCAAGAGTAATGTTGATCATAAAAATCTCACTATAGAAAACTAGGAATTTTTTTTCTCAAACTGTTCAAGGACCTATACAAATTCATAAACTGGGTCCACATATTGCATTAAAATACAATGTTTTAATCATGGGTTAATAAATAAAGCCCAGTGGCTAGAACTGCATAACACATCCAAAAACCATACCACTCCAGCAAACAATGATTCACTGCCCTGGTTAGGTTTAATATTGCACAAGGCCACTGTTTCAGTACATGGAATCACCATTTGCTAGATGCAAAATATTAAGTGTTAATTTAAAAAACATGTTAGTAAAAAAGACTGTCTTAATTTGTGAAATATATTTCTAATATTTTTTTTAAAAAATTAATGTAATACAGTTGAAAACATATTCTCATATCTACCATATTAAATGACACATCCCATTCAAAGCTTTAACACCACACTTTACTGCACAGTAAACCAGTGATCTATTTATGAACCTATGGATGCTATGTACATAAAGAAAATACAACTCACCAATGAAGGAGAATATTTGTAGCTTGGGGTTGAAATGAGGGGTCCTTGGTGCTCTTTGAGCTTGCTTGTTTTCTTGCATACATTTCATGACCCTAACTAGATAACATCTAGTGTGGGTATCCATTTTGTTGGAATGTGTTGTATAGATGCTCCGTTTCCTTTTTCTGCTGTTCTGGGTTGCTGCCGTGTGCCTGAGCTCACTTAAATAAAGTCCTTACGCAGCTTCTCTTGTGGGAGGTTGGGTTGTTGCTTTGATAGTGGACCACCGGGTTAGTATGGGTGGTTTCCCTGTAGACTTGCGTTTCTACTTTGTCATTGTGTGTTGATCAGGATGTCCAAGAAGGGTAGCGAGTTCTTGTTTTCTTCTTTTCTAGTAAACTGGATTCCTTTAAAAATGTTATTGATAGGTCTGTAGGTGTTCTCTAATTGATCCTTTTTTATTATGGTGAAGGTGTCATCTACATATCTGATCCATATTTTCGGTTGTATTGGTCCTTTTTTATTATGGTTGTATTGGTCCTTTTTTATTATGGTGAAGGTGTCATCTACATATCTGATCCATATTTTCGGTTGTATTTGTGGAAGTACTATGGCTTCTAGATGTTGCATGACAATCTCTACTATAAGTCCTGAAAGTGGTGATCCCATACGCGTCCCTTTAATTTGTTGGTAAATTTGGCCACCAAATTGGAAGTATGTACTGTGTTTCTCTGAAAGTAAGGCCTACCCTGAAAATAAGCCCTAGCTTGATTTTGGGGGTGGACCTAATATAAGCCCTACCCCAAAAACAAACCCTAGTTTGGGGGCAAGGCATAATTAAAAATCAAGCTAGGGCGGGGATGGGGGTATGGAGTGCCCCACACACCCCACACCCACTTACCTTGCAGCCAGTCCTCTCCTCACCGACCCAGCTCTTCTTCTGAGGCATCTTCTGCAGCCAGGCCTGCGTTTCTCAATCACAGGCCTTTCCGGAAGGCCTCTGCAGCCAAGAATATAGCTATAGATTCAATCCATAGCTCAGTTCTGCAAGACCTTTGCAGCCGAGGACCGAGCTATGGATTGAATCCATACCTCAGTTCTTGGCTGCATAGGCCTTCTGGAAAGGTCTGACTGCAAAATGCAGGCTGGAATGCAGCTGCAGAATGAAGCTGCTCCTTCGGCCGTAGAAGTGGTCCTGCTGGGCGGGACTATCAGTGCAGGAGGTAAGATATCCCCAAAAATAAGATCTGGTGCCTCTTTTGGAGGAAAAAAAAAATACCAGGTCTTACTTTCGGGGAAATACGGGTAGTTAAGCAGAGGTTTATGAGTTCCATAATCCTGGGTGTTTTGATCTTTGTGTATTCAATTAAGTCGGGTGTACTGTGAAGCAATGCAGTCATGGGTTCTTTGGCTAATTCTGGATCTATAGATGTGAGCAGGGCTGTGACATCAAATGAGACCATGATTTCATTCTCATCCATAGTCACATCCCTGATTGTTTAAAGACACTGTAGTGGAGAGTTAATGGAATGTTGACTTTCTCTTGTGAGATGCCTAAGCTTTTTTGTTAGTTCTTTTGCAATTTTGTATGTAGGGATCCCTGGTAGAGATACGACTGGACAGAGGGGTATGCCAGGTTTTTCTATTTTGAGGTGTCTGTAGAAGCATGGGAGGACAGGTCCTCTGCTTCTCATCTGCCACTGTTCTTCTTTGGTAATTTGGCTTTTCTTAGTGAGGTCACTGAAGGTTCTCTTGATCTGGTTGCCTAGCTTTTGTATTCTATTCGTTTTCACAGGGATGTATGTTTCTTTGTCCTCTACTATTTCTTTCGCTTTTTGTTGTTATTGTGCTCTGTCCATAATCACTGTGGTTCGGCCTTTGCTTGCAGGTAGAATGAAGTTCTGGTCCTTTTTTAGGTTTCTGAGGGCTGCTCTATCTTCTGCTATAAGTTGATTCTGTTCCTGTCGTCTTCTCATCTGTGGAATGATGTTTTGTCTAATGTTTTCTTGCAACTGTGTGGAGAGTTTGGTGGTTTTAAGCACTAGCACTGATGATGTTACTAGTTAGGGTAATGAAACGTCTCCAAGAAAATAAGCAAGCTCAGAGAGCACCAAGGACCCCTCAAAATATAACTCAGTTTTGATTATGGTAAGACATAAAACAAAGATGAGCAGCTCTTAGGTAGACTTCCGTTTTGCCTGCAAAAGATCTGATTGAATCTCTGAAATGTTCAGGACTAATGTTTCTGTCTGAAACTACAGATACATATCATTCAAGAGATTATAATTTGAATGCTACCCTGACTGGGTGAGATATGGCAGATTTTGTCTTGCAGTTAAAGTAGCAGTCATGCAGGCTCTGGCTGCAGCTCAGAAAGAACTGTACTGTATACATATATGCATTAATAGGATATCCCAATATGTATTAAAATACCCAAATGCACCAGCATGAACTTGTAGCTTTCTTGCATCAGTATCCAGGTGCCTTTTTCCAGGAAGTTTTCCTTTTTGATTATCTGTCCCTCTCTAGGCTATCATCCCATGATTTTTCTGGTAGTCTCCCATCCCAAACTAAGCAGTTCAACTAGGTTTAGTGTTTTCAAGTTACATGCTGCCAGCTAAGTTGTATATGCATTAGTACACTCGAAGTTGAAGAACAGCTGAATCAGGCACATTCAGTGGCAATGAATGCAGCAGGCAATCCCAGCATCCACAGCTGAAATGTTAATTTATAAAAAAGCCCCGTTTCCATCAGAGACCGTACAGAAGTGGAAACGTTCCTAAGACAGCATATTCAAAATACCAGCTTTCTTCAGTGCAGCACCTGCCCAGATGTGCTGGACTAATTCCAAAATTGGTCGCAAATTACGAGAATTGAATTTCATTACACGTAGGAATGTGCTTTTTGGCAATTTAAGATCATTCGCCCTGCAGAGAATTGTTAGCCTGAATTCAATTACCAACAATTCTATCTATAGTACATTAAATTTTCAACCTCTACGCAAGCAGGATTTTATTGAAGATTTAGGAATTCTATACCCAAAATCTATCAAGGGATAGAGGTACCAGGTCACATGCAGAATGCATTCCCTGCTGAACTCCAGGGTCAAAAAAAGGCAGGTGCTGACAGAAAACCTTCGGTAAACAAACAACAACCCGTGCTTTACTCACTAGTCGAGTTGCTCGGTAGGGCCCGGGGCCCACGAGTCGAGGCTCCATCGGTCGCCCCGAAAATACAAAACTCCGCGGTCCGTCTCCACGGCGACCGATGGACACAGCATAGAATTTTCGAAGGTAAGTTTGAATCAGAGACTACCGCATTCTGATTGGGCCAAATCTAGGTCACATGACACCTCAGAATTAGCCGATTGGAGGCAGTCCTTTTAAGAAACACTCCGCTCATAGAAAAAAAAAATCACGCGTTCGCTCTTTGCCCCGATAAGCGATTGGGTTCTCTGCTAGAAACGTCAGAGGTGTGCTTTACCGACAACCCCCAATGAGTTGTTCCGCTCCTTTTCTCCGTCACCAATCACTGAGCAGTAGCGAGATAAAAGTAACAGGATAATAATGTCAGGCAATGCTTTTGCGCGCTTGTTCTTCTGTTTCAACTTTGTATTGCAAGCAGGTGAGGTTGCTGCTCTGGCTTCAGTAGCTTCTTGCTAAAATCGATACTGCATAATCGCAGAATTTGGGAGAAATCCATCCCTTCCCATTATATGGATGGTGCAAGGATTGATGTCCTTAAATTCCTCCACCTTCGTGGCACAAAGGCTAGCCAAGAATGGAGGATGCCCTTTAAGCCTCTCTTAACTTTGGTGGCAACTGAGCTAATTATAACTTGCTTAACCATAGCTTGCATAATCTTAGGTTAATACGTAAGAGCTTCTTCGTTTTTCTGCTTCATAAGCATATCCCTTTAACAGTTATTTGTTTTAAAATCATGCTTGATTATATTCAGATTTCCCTAAATCACTGAGCCTTCTAGATCAAGTGATTACAACTGGCAGAAGTTCCAGGTAATATCTCAGATCTTGTTTACATATTCTGGAATTTGTAATCAAAACAGCTCCTTATGGTCCAGGGCTTCTGGGTCAAGCAATGGAGAGACTGAAACCTAGGCAAAGAGTTGGTGTAAATGTAAAACTGAATTTTAGTTCCACTAAAGAAATTCTCTTTTATTCTGACTTGGGATCCATTAAACTGCTAATAGCCTTTTCCAGAGACGATTATTGGGCTTTTGCTGTGGTCCTGTCAGTCTAACAAACTCTTCATCTTAATAAACTTGACCTGATTCTAGAAAAAGCTGGCCTTTACTTTAAAACATGATAGTAATTTAGCAAGCATAAGGGTATTGTTCTACAAATTCAGAGGGGGGGGGAATGTTTCCTTCAAACCATCCCATTATTAAAACCCTAAGACACATAAAAAAATTAAATAGTTGAAGACTTATGAATCATAGTTTTTAATATACAATAGTACAGTTTGTATAAAACAAAGTTGATAGATACTTTAACAGTGAGGTTCATACCCTTTGTACCATCCATGAAACTTTTCCATTTCAGATAAAAGCAGCCTAAAGAAGTTGGGACCCAATTGAAATGAATGTATCCTCATCAGTGCTCAAAGTATTGTTGTATACTTATCAAACACACTTCATTTTCATAATGAAGATACATAAGCATTTAAGAGTGCCACTAAATTGTAAATATGCCACTAAATTCCCAATATGTACTTTATTGCTGAAATTTGCTGGTTGTAATAGTTTTTATTTCTCCTCACATCAAATTTAAATTCCAAATAATTTATAATAAAATATATTTTCTTGTCCAGGAAAACCATATATAAAACATCCAGTGTGCTGGGCACTGAAGCCTCTTGATTGTCAAGTACTGCATGTTGAAGATCTTGTTTTGTAGCTGAGCCCTTCATTCATTTTTGTTTCTGCTAATACCATTTTGCAAATGTTTGGGGAGCCGGTAACCCTTAGTATAAGCATTATACCAAAAATGTAGAAACAGGATTAAAAACACAGACCCGTAGAGCCCAATGATGAACATGAAAATAGGATACTGATACTGACAATCATCCATGAGGTAGATTTGCCCTATATGCATTGTCACCAAGATGAACTGCACCTGTAAAAAAAAAATTCATTTAGATTTCTTGTAAGAGAAGAAGAAATTTTACTTTCTGACTTTGGACCTGAAAACTAGATATGAAGTGACTAAAGAAATATTATGGATTTTGAATACATAGTTATTTGACAATTTATTGAGTTAGATTAAAATTAAGAATATATTGTAAATATTGAATTTTTAGAATGATGATTATTAGTATGTTACAATATTTTAAATATTGATATTCATTTAAACTTAGAAAAGTTGTATTATATTATCTCTGCTTTAAAAAAAAGTTGGAGGTCATTTTTGTTATACTGAAGATATTTTTTGTCACTTTTCCCCTTTATATTAGCTTGTATTTTAATATTTGTTTTTGAAATTTAAGAAATATATTAGTAAAAAGATATTACTTTTAAATCAAGTAGACAAGAATTAGGACAGAATTAAGATGGAATTATTTGGATTGCAGTTTCCTTAAGGCCTACTATTATATTTCAGGACACATGTCTACAAAAGCATTTTAGAGATGTGATAAGTATTTCTGTCCCCTTTGTACAGACCAACAGTTGGAGACAAGAGGGCATCAGGAAGAGAAAGGGAAATGCCAACAAGAGATCAGATCTTCTCACCTGGAGCATTTGTAAGATGGGGCAACAAGCCAAGATAGTATATGACGCTATTGTAATTATATGAATCTTGCGCCTTTCCTCAGCATGTTTTATTTCATTGCTTTATTGTATCATTTTCTTTTATATTTTGTTTTAATCTTTGTAAGATACCCAAAATCATAAATAAATAACATCTGTTAATACAGATAATCTTACACTCACTATGTAATCATCTTTTTGAGAGACCTCAGGCTGTATGAAAGCACCAGAGTGGAAAATGTGATATATCTAGCTAGCTCACAACTTTATAATGTGCCTATTTATCTTTTGTAAGTTTAAATCATTCAAATCTAAGCCTATTTTTTTCTGTACCTCCTTTCAGAGTTACTTACTAATTGTATAGTTGTCAGGTATTTTTTCCACCACAAGTGCTTATGGAATGCTGGCCCCAGTGTACAAAGTCCATAGTAGGAGTACATGATCACATGAACCATAGAGTTGAGCATACCGTGGAATGTTCCTAAACCTCCTGTAGAAAGGGAGGCAAGATCTGTCTCAGTCATGTAATCAATTTTTTATTATCAATCCAAAGCATGTCATAGTTGAGACATATCAGAGAAACACAAGAAATAATAAGCATTCAACAATGTACTTCAATCCTGTTTTCATAGATTTCTACTATAGTGTTTATGACCAGCTAAATGCATGGCTAAGTAATAATACACAATTTACTCAGTTAACATAGCTGCCTAGGTTCATATATCATTCTGAGCTATAAAGTAACCAAACACATTTTATCCTAGCATCTAATATAAAGCTAAACTGTATGTTGGTGCAATGGGTGGATACCATTTAGAAAAAAAATTCTGTATGGCAAAAAGCTACATGCGGTGCTACAGTGCAAACTTCCCAAAGTGCCACCCTTCAAATGAAACCCAATCTCAACACACAGGATTTGCACTCAACATAGTGATTATTTGCCATCAAGCTGTTTTCAACTCCTAGTGATTACATAAATAGATACTGATTAGGAATTCTGGGAATTATAAGTTTCTGTGCGTTTGGAGGGCACATGGTTAGAGAGGTTGAATGGTTAAAATGAATGGATAGAGATCAATCTGTACCAACACCACCATTATTTGCAAACAAACTCACTGTAGAGTAATTCTAAAGAGTAGGAGGAAGACTTAAGAAGGAACTTCACAAAAGGAATAGTTATCCATGCTGGACACCCTTTACATTAGCCTGATCAGGCTCTCTATTTATTTAGCAACAAAATAACTTGCATTCACCTAATGAAGAGAAGAAAGCTGGGGGTAACCAAGAGTGGATTCAAGTAAAACGACTGTTTACTTGTGGTATTTAAGAACTAAGTGGTTCTCAGGTTAAAATAGGAATAAAACATATCAGATTTTTGTGTTCAAACAAATAAATCTAATTGATAAGGCAATGCCTCAATCAATCTATATTTTGGAGGTTTTTATATACTCCTGCTCATATTAACATCAATAGAAAAATAACTGATAAAAGTGCACCCACATCAGAAGCTGTGAGAAAGTATGCAGGGTTCAGAAAAAAAAACCATTCCCTTCTGGTCCTCTTGGAGCCTTAGGGTCATGAGATTGAGAAACTTTCCAAAGAGTCTCTGGAGAGTTTCATGACACTCAGGTTTCCCAAGCTTTATCCTGGTTATTTATTTTCACACAAAAATAGTAACTACAATATCTCATAAATATTAAACAGTGTATGGAAAAACAAATACATACAGTAACAAACAGATGATTTTTAATTTATTTTTGTTTTTATTTACTTTGTCAACGCTATAAACATTGGATGTTCCTGCTCTGACAACTGATGAAAATTGCAGCCATTTTCTCTTTGCTTTTAACATGCTTTTTCTTCTATTTAGAAATCAGGTTCAGGAAAGGGATTGAGTGACTACTTGAGCTCAGCTAGCCATAATAATAATGCTGCCCTGTGGGAACCCAAGGACAAACTGATAACGTTTTGGTGGGTTGAGGACCTGGGCAGGAAGACCACATTTCAGATTAATTGGAGAACGTGATTTATGACTGCTTCTTGGGAGTGGGAATTGCAATTTGTTACTTTGTATCTAGGGGAAGAGAATCTAGTTTTGGGTTCAACTATGTAGTTCCGATACTTTGTTTGCTGAATAAAATTTTCTTTAAGGAAGAATTTTTGCCTTGAAGTTCTTTTGAAGGGTTTCATCTATCAGAACCATGACATACTTATATGCTATCTTTATTATTTTTTATAATAACTTAAGGTGGCAAATATATGCAACACAACTTCCTCCTCTATTTTCCCCACAACATGATTGAAATCCCAATTCCCGGAATGTGCAGGTTGTATATCTTTAATTGCAGCTGGTTAGTATATCTTGCACACCTCCAGATACAATAACAGACAAGTTTTTGCAGACAGGTTTTTGAGCACTTGCTCTTTTTAAATGACAAGACATGGGCTGCTATTTTTTTTAAAAAAAACAAATGGCATACAGTTAGGAATACATTTAGGCTTATTTGCATTTGTTTCCAGACTATTTCTTTTATATTTCATTTTAAAGCAGTTTTCTATTCAGTCTCTTCCTTTTCCATTACCTTCATCCTATTTTTACATCACTGTTCTCTATTTCTGCTTTAGCTGATTTTCAGTCAGCTATAATAGTAAACTTTATATTTGTATCAATTTTCCTTTTACTATCATGCATCTAATTAATCACTACTTTTATTTGAAACCTATTTCATTTTTTTTTTTTAGGAAGTGATTGTTGAAAGTCTTTGAATCCAGGATGAAGTAACTTCTCAGTTACAGAGAACTGGTATCTCATTGCCATTATTGAGGAGAAATTATTAACTAGTTTTCATCAAGACAGAGAACAGCCAACGTTTGGAATCAGTGATTAGGGCTCGACATGTTTTAAATAGGATATGGTTATGCCTAAAGAATGGCTGTTGTAGGTCTGAATTTTTTTTCAAAATATCTAATACTGCTGTTTGGTTCACAAAAATTCACATCGATTATACTCAATCTGCAACAGTGGAAACTGAATAGAGTGCTTTTTGTGCAGCTTTTAATTAGATCTTCTGTCAAGCCTAAGGGAAGTAACAAACCGGAAGCCTATAGCAGAATCTACAGCAAGTTAAAACTGGAGCCGTGTTAAGCAAGAGTGCCTAAAAAATTTGTATGGAGCTTGTCCAGCAAGTTATTTATTTTCCTCTAATCCCACATGCGGCTCTGATGATTCTTTCACAATATTCTAGAAATATGTAGAAATAGACATCTGAAATGTGCATAGTCTAGGCCAGTTATGGCGAACCTTTTAGAGACTGAGTGCCCAAACTGCAACCCAAAACCCACTTATGTATTGTCGGGTGCTGGGTGGGTGTGGCCAATTGGGTGGGTATGGCCAATTGGGTGGGCATGGCTGTGGTGGGAATGGCAGACTGGGTGGGACTAAAAAGTTCAATTAATCAATTCCAACTTTGTGAGATCTTTTTTTTTCCCTGCGAGAAATTAAAATTGATTGATTGATTGAACCTTTTTTTTTTTGCACACGGCGGCGGAGGCCTAAAGCGAAAAGTTTTAAAACCCAGCTGAAGGCCTAGGACTATGGCGACAGCGCGCGTGCCCACAGAGAGGGCTCTACGTGCCATCTGTGGCACACATGCCATAGGTTCACTACCACGGGTCTAGGCACTATTTTTTTCTCCTTGAGCTGCCATAGTGCCAACTATTGCTCCATGGCTGAACTTAGTGCATTATCAAATATGGACATAATCACCTCTCATTTAGATATTTAATTACTAGCTCTGACAGAGGCAGAATGTATAGAACACACCAAATGGAAATCCAAAACACTCACATCCGTTCTATTTGTTTGGCATTTAGTACTTTACCATTATTTAAGTTTGTTGCAGCATCAGCTTACAACAACATTCAAGCTCATGAACAATTATTTTAGATGCATAGTGTTATTATGGCACACATTTTAACTAAATTTTGCCAACTGTTTCAGATTGTGCATAGTAATATGATGAAAAGGACTGTTGCTCACCAAAGCTGCCCACATTATTGTTGCCCATATGTTTTGGCTGTATCTCCCTCAACAGGAGAGCAATATCACCCTACTTGTTTTATTTTTTTATTGAAAGAAAATGATTTCCTATTACATAAATTAATTACAGGTAATCCTCGATTTACAACAGTTCATTTAGTAATCATTCAAAGTTACAATGGCACTGAAAAAAGTGACTTATGACCATTTTTCACATTTACGACCATTGCAGCATCCCCATGGTCATGTGATCAAAATTCAGACATTTGGCAACTGACTCATATTTATGACAGTTGCAGTTTCCCAGGATCATGTGATCCCCTTTTGCAACCTTTTGACAAGCAAAGTCAATGGGGAAGCCAGATTCACTTAACAACCATGTTACTGACTTAACACCTGCAGTGATTCACTTAGCAACTGTGGCAAGAAAGGTTGTAAAATGGAAAAAAACTCACTTAACAAATGTTTCACTTAGCAACAAAAAATTTGGGCTCAACCTTGGTCGTAAGTCGAGGACTTCCTGTATTGTGTTCTTAGTGAACAAGCAAGGTTGCATTCTTTATTGTCTTCAAATCTCACCTGGAGAGTTTTTTTCTAACGGGCATCAGAGAATACTGCCTTTAGCAGCTTAGGATGAATTCTACATAAAGAGAAAAAGAATTTGATGCACATATCCCTAAATTTGTCCATGTACACTCATTATTGTTCTCAGTTCTTTTCCAGGCATAATTCAAAATGCTGGTTATTAATTTTATACTCCTATGTGACTCTGAGCCTGGAAGCTCAATTCCTACAGAATTGCCTGCCCATTGTGAGCAGGGAGTCTGCAACATGAAAGCCCTGTCTCTGCTTCAGGTACCTCATACGTGGGCCTTAGTAGAGCCCCCTCCTTCCATGGAACATAGGGGTCAATATCACCTGCAAGGCTGTGAAGCTGACCTTCTTTCACAGACTTTGTAGCTTAGTAGTCAGGGAAAAGCTGTAGCCATTTTGTAAAGCCTTCATCAAAGTTGCATGATATTCTGCTTAGTAAAATGGTAAGTTATGGGCTACAGTGGTAAAAATACTAGAGGCACTCACAAGTGGCTGAATGAGCGCTCATTAAAGGCTTCACTTCAGTTTGCAAGGAAGTATCCA